TACGATTGGCAGAATTTATTTTTTTGTACCAACACATGTCTTTGGTATGGTTATTTTTCCACACGTCTCACATTTTTTCTATCTTTTTGGCTTTTGGAGTTTTTTGAGTTTTACGTGTTTAACATTAGCAACACTTTTCTCCTCAATTTGTGTATTATCCCTTTTTACGTTTATGAGACGTTGGCATTCTTCAGTCACCCTTTGTAATGTTATTTTCGAGTCTTGCTCGACCATTATTAATATTCTCGACCTAATTTCTTTATATTTAGGATCAGTTAGTCATTGAAGAAAAATTAGGCACTTGAATAAATCTTTGGTTATTTCTTCTAACTTGAATTGTTCAACAAGAGAGTTCAATGTTCCGCCAGGACCACGTTACAAAATCCTCGTTATCTGCTTTAACGATGTTTAGGCATCTGTATCGCGTGTGGAACAGACTATTCCTTTCGTCAAATATTTTTGACAGAATACTTATAGTTTCTTCAAACGAAACTTCTTCTGGCTTCTAGGCAATATCAAGTTTGAGTACTTCCTATTTTCGTTTGAATTTTTTCAATTGCTCCATCCTGACTTTATGTAGAATTCGGCAAAAAAAAAAAAAAAAAAAAAAAAAAATTACAGCCATAATAATTTTACAACCCGTAATTTTTACTTGAATAATCAATTATTAGACCGGCTCGCATTTGAGTCGCGGTTCAATATATATTTTCCAAATCACAATTTAACAGTAAAAAATTTTTCTTACTTTTCAAAAGTTTCCTTTTTACTTGTGACTCGCTTTTGAAATCCGTTCAGGCGTAATCTGATATATATATATATATATATATATATATATATATATATTTTTTTTTTTCAGGTAAGTACGTTTGCACAATCCTCGTCGCCAGCTGTTATATCTCTAAATGCGGCAAGATATAATAAACAAAGTAAACCTGAGTGTTGGTTTTCAATAATAATTTTATGATCGGATGTAGGTTTGTCAAATACAGACACAGAGTCAGGAGTATGCTAACCTCAATAGGTGTTAACAAACGAAGACTCTTTCTGTCTGCTGTGGTCGTACTTAATTGGCAACCAGTCCATCCATTATCGTGAATGGTGAAGTTGGGTTATATCATCACAACAAGAAGTTACAATCAATTTCCTCCACGAGATGTTCACTAGATTTGGGGTAGTTGATTGTCTAGTGTGTGTGACAATGAAACACAATTTATGTCCAGTGATTTTAAGGATTTTTGTGAGACCTTCCAGATCAATCATATTACAATTGCCCCATATCACCTGAGGTCCACTCGACAGGCTGAGTGCTTTGTTGATACACTGAAAAGAGCCCTGAAGAAAGCTAGGAACACACCCACAAAAAAAGCCCTACAACAGTTCCTTCAGGTGTATAGAATTACGCCCAACAACAACACACCATCATCATTACCTCTAGCCGAGGTAATGTTTCGCATAAAATCAGGTCTGTGTTTGACAAGCTACTTCCCAAACAAACAAAACCAAACACTGTACCAAATAAACACTACCAACCCCAAAAGTTTTTTCCAGATATTTTGGGATAATAAATCCTTCTGGGAAATGGGTACAATTGAAAAAAAGGATAGGAAATACGGTTTACATACTCAAAGGTCCACAGTTTATGCAGAAGAGACATTTAAACCAAATCAGGAAATGCTTGTCGGACAATGCTGACAGCAGTCCTCCTGAAGGCCAAGAACGAATGGATGTCATTTATGACACTTTTGACATACAAATACCTCAAGTGGCTCCAGAGCAATGCCATTTGAAAAGGAAAAGGATGGACTTTATCATTGTTAATCCTAAGAGGAAAAGGTATTAAGACTCCTGCAGAGTTAAGACTTATGACGCAGGTGTTATGGTAAATTACCCATACACGGATGGACTCTTCCAAGTTACAAATAAAAGCAGATACTGTTTTTGTCAGTAGAGTTTTTTTTCCTAACTGTCAGCTCTGACAGTTCAGACTTAACATTCTTTCTTGTTCATATATTATTGTATTACTGATTTTCGTTAATATATTTGTTAACTCAGATCCACTCTTGTGTCATGGAGGTTATTTTATTTATGTCATCTCTCCATGATTTTCTTTTAGCTTCTTTGATGTTTCTATGTGCTATTGCTCTTTTCTGTTTGAATAGATTTAAATTATGGGTTGAAGGTTGAGTATTACATTTTTGTAATTCTCCTCTACATATTCTTATTACCTTTTTGCAATCTTTGTCGAAACCATGGTCTTTGATGTTTATTTGATTCACTGCTTTTTGGTGTACATTTTCTTGCAACTTTGGAGTTCTTTCTTATGGGATGCCAGGGATACAGGACAGTATAGTTGTGTGATGAAAATGGATACGAGCACCTGCATTCTCCCACCATATCTACCCAGGTGTAGTATGGTGTAAGGATTTGCAGCCATGTTGGAGTCATTATCTTTCATCCCAACTAGCCCTTGCCACTATGTGACTAGCCAATTGGAATGGATTGGGCTATTCCATCTATTTGTCTACTGCAGGTAGGGACCGAAGTGACATGTTGTGGAAACTCCTGGTCATTTTATACCTGACTAGAAGTCACTCAGTCACCAGGACTCTGTCCCTAGGCATCACAAGTCACCACCCATGGCAAACAGGTGGTCCCAATGAGGAGAATTTGTAGTTTTTTTTTTTAATCAATTTTTGTGAATGTGCATTTTACACATCACAATTTGTATTGCTAACATTTTTACTATAAAAACATCTTTACACTTTCATAGTATTCAGACTCCAATTTGGCAGAGGGGAGTTACTATTTACCCATAGCTGGGCCCCAACAGGTCCTACCACCCTGTCTCAGAGTGGACCTAGGAACAACAGCAATTAAGAGATGGTTCCACGCTCTTCAAAATCTCCCAATCAGTGGCCTTGCTGCTGGATACAGTTCTTCATACTCAGGACGATTTAATTCTGGTCTTGGATAGAGATTTTTATATATTTTATTTAGTAGTATGCATATTTCTGCACCTGAGTTGATTTTGAAATTAATTTTAGTATTGTTTATGTATAATGCTGTGGTCCATTGGTCTAGCTCTTTTCTTCCCACAGAGTAAATTCTACAGTGATTCGATTTGTTAATTTTTATATATTTCAGTGTGTATTTGTCTGATTCTTTCAATGAGATTTCTATTTTGTGTATAGCTTTCTTGGATCTGTATATTTTTGTATTATTATACTTATATTTACCACATGTATTATAAAATGTGGGACAATTTTTTTCTATTGTGACTACCATCTGCATGGTATTTACATGAGTTTATGTAGTTTGAAGTTTTGGCAGGCTTATTGTCATTTTCTGGACGAAGACATTTAGAAATTTTTTTCTGAATATTTGAAGTGTTGGCTATTTCATATGTTAGCTACTTTGGTCTGTTTGTATTCAGAAGGCGTGTCTAGTATTTTTGTTTTTGTTCCCTCAGTACTCTGTCCAGCCTGGATTGCTTTGTATAAAGTTAAAGCAAGTTGTACTAATAGATGTTTTCTTAGTTTTGAGTCATTAATGCCACATATTAAGATGTCTTGAATCAGGCTATTAGCAATGTCTCCAAGTTCACATTCTTGTGCTTTGTGACAAAGCTTGGTTACAAACATTTTATCTTCCACTTGTTTGCACATAAAAAAACTTATGACTTATATTGTTCAATTTTTATCTTTTATCGAATTTCCCAAGAACAATTTCTAAATTTGTTTTATTTTCTGGTGAATCAAAGATAAACATGGAGAAAATAATTATATATGTTGTGATGACACAGTATGAAAATATACTTGAGTAGGCTGAAGAAAGAAGAATATATGAATACATATGTTTATCTTATCAAAGGATTTTATTTCCTATGCCTTTAAGCTTAAATCACCAACAGCAGCAGAATAGCAGTGAATGTTCTAACATACCTCGAGTGGTGTAATGGTTAGCAAGCTTGTCTCGCTAGAACAATTATGACTGAGTAGTGAGTCCGATCCTCACTGGGTGCCCCATACTTTCGACCTTGTGCCACATCTGAGCTACACTTGGAAAATAACTATATAACACATATTGTAGGAAACTTTTTTTATGAATTGTACACATGTAGAAAATCATAAAATGGAGTAATGGAAACCTTGGAACAACAACAACAAAAATGATAAAATAAATTCTTGGAATGACAAACTGAAATTCTTTCCATCTATATTTCTGAGATGAAGCATTATGTACACTATTTACATTATTCGGACTATTGTCCTCATCTTTAGCGCCATATTTATTACAACATTTCAGCCCTTCAGTATCTGTCTATATTTGTGAGATGTGGTATTATGTACACTATTTACATTATTCGGACTATTGTCCTCATCTTTGTCGCCATATAACTGACATCCATTAAAAACATGGCATGGGGAGTGAGAACAGTCTACTCCAGTGAGCGAAATAAAGGGTTCAGTTTGACATTCCAACCACCTGAAGAAGGCCGGAGTGTACAACGGTTGAAACATTGTAATAAATATGGCAACAAAGGTGAGGACAATAGTCTGAATAATGTAAATAGTGAAATTCTTTCTTGTAGTTATATGCTGGTAACAGAAAGAAGCCTTGTGAATAGGAGATTCCTTTCTAATAGACAATTCAAAAGAAATATCAACAGATACTACAGTGTGATCAGAATTACTAAGAGCAGTTGTGATTTACAAGAAATGCACACTATGTGTTTAAAAATAGATTGTTGGAAGGACAACTGAAAATTATCACTTGTTGTAACTGTTCATTAAAAATCCTTATTTGAACATTCATATGTTTCTTTATAAAAATTCAAGTTTAAGAAGTACCTTACAACAAATGTACACTATGTGCTTAAAAATATATTAGATCTTCAAATATCTTTAATTTCATATGATAATTTGTAAATTGGAGTTTTTCTTTAATTCATGAAGAAAAGCTTATTGTAAATAATATTTGTGAAAAACAAAATTACTCACGCGTCACTTTCCTTTTTCTCTGAAAAAATAATTGAAATTTTAATCACAATAAATCAAGTATATAATGTAATAAATAAAACAAAACATGACATAAATAAAGGTAGTTTCATTTATATATTTGAATAAGAGGTAAGTTTGACAAAAAATGAGTATTCTTCACATGTAATTTTTGTGTGAGTTACACAATTTTAAATTGGCATTGACATTGTCAATAATCATTAAAGAAAAAATTGCAATGGAGAGGTTTATACCTACAAAACAATTTCAACAAGAACCAAACAGCCATCCCTGGTTCACCCTTGAATGTGCTGCAGCCATATCTTACTGTAACCATGACTACAATATCTATCACAATGAGTGGTGTAGTTTGACTCTGCATTCAGAACCACCCACAATTACTGTAAGAAATTTCTGGAAAATTCAAAGTGTAGCTATGCACAAGCATTCCAAGCCAAGGTTGAAAACAAACAAATTGGATACCAAAAATTCTGGAAAATCTCTAATCAAATTATGAACAGAGTCAAAGCAGCTCTGCTCTCTTTTATAAATAGCTGAAATTATATATTCCTTGATAGATAAGGTGAAGATCTTTGTCTCAAATTTAATTTTAGATGACAAAATCCATCCCCTTCACAACTTCCCACACTTCACTGAGCACAATATCTGTAATATCAAAAGCCTTAACCCTAAGAAATCCACTGGCCCAGACAAAATTCCAGTGGTTAAGAATATTAATCCAGAACTATCCCTGATCCTAGTGAAGTTATTTAACCACTGCCTGAAGGAGAAATCCTTTTTAAGCCTGTGGAAAGTGTCAAGCATATGTCTGGTTTTCAAGAATGCAGACAAGTGCTGATTCCCCTCTCAGTATGGAGCCATTACTATCATTAATAAGCTTTTTGAGGCTAAAATCAACAAGAAGGTCATTGAGCACCTAGATAAGAACTGCCTCTTGAATAACAAGCAGTACAGGTTTTGATTGGCCTGATCCCAACCTGATTTCCTAACTAACAGTATTCACAGAAGCAGTGAGCCTCTTGACAACAAATACACTTCAAGGACCATAGCATTAGATATTTTGAAGCTCTAACAGCTCAGTGGGGGAAAAAACTGGCTGGTTACATTCAATGCCTTGAAAACCAAATAAGTTACATTCCATCATCACTGATCAGACTTCAAACTAACACCACTTATGATGAATGGATGTCCCCTCAGCAAGGCTCTGCACCTTGAGAGTCTATTGAGTCTTAAACTCATCCCAGACATCAAGTGGAACTTGTACATATGCATCATTGTTAAAGATGCAGGAAAAATGGTTGGTTCTCTGTACCAGTCCAGTAAATACCTGACTCCTCATACTATCCACTATCTTTATAAGAGCTAGATCAGGCTGTGAATGGAGTACTGTTGTCATATTTGGGCAGGAGCTGCTCAGTCCTCAGTTTCCAGTTTCGATAAAGTTCAAAAGCATCTCTGAATCCTTGTGGGTGACAAATTATTTTTCACCCTTCAACTCCTCTCTCACAGAAGAGCCTATCGCTATTTCCATGGAAAGTGTTCGGACTGGTTCCGCCAATTCTAACCTTCATGGCTAGGACCCAACATGCAACACACATTGTCAGAAACAATCTTCACACCCTTTAAATTCCAATGGTGGGAAGTCAGTTCTGCTCAAACAGCTTCTTCCCATGAACCACTGCTCTGTGGAACCAACTCCCAAGAGGATGTCTACCCAATCACTACAATCTTAACTTCCTCTTCTATCCATATAAACTACTACTTACTCTGTAACTCTTAAGTGGTTCCCGGCCCTTGTACAGGGTGATGCTCACTCATAAAAAAAAAAAAAAAATGAACAGGATAATAAACACACTTTCTCACTTTTGCTCCAGAATGAAGTAGTGAAGCCAACAGTATTCTCTCCTCAAGGGAAGATCTGTTCCTCTGGCAGGCCATTTACTTAATTTCAGCCAACCACATAACACACACACACACACATTCTCTGACAACAAAGCTTATAAATATTTTTCTTCCTATTTCAGCTGTGTACACACAAGTATATTACCTCTTCTTGAATTATGGTATTTTTTATATAAATATACAATGCAAAATTCTTTCACATGTTTAATTTGTTTTTGAAAGTATTGAATTTGTTATTTTGAAAGTTTTTTTTTTTGCTGCAGCTGTAGTAAATTCTCCCCATTACAAACTGGTGACCAATAACAATATCATCTATTATAATCCTGTAGCAATCCTTTTTGCTACATCTTAAAACAATTCATGAAAAGGAATCAATCATTACTTAAGAAGAAATCTTGAATATATAAATATTCCTATAAGCATACAAAAGTACTTACTTGATAATCTTCGATATATGAAAAAAACAATTCCAGCAATAATAAAAATGACAATTACTCCAATCACACAAGATATGATTATATATATATATGATTTATCTGGAATCCCTGAATCTGCAAGAACAAAATTAAACATCAGAAAATAATTTTAAAAATAATTCATTTTTTTAATGTTTTAATCTTGAACTTCATTAAGATAATAATTATTGTTATTTAGGCTAATTTGCATATAATTTTATTTAATTCAATCTGACAATTTAATCATTCCTCAGTCATTCACATAAACAATAAAGGAAGCTTTTGGTTTTCTTTCAGCCCAGATCTTCATAACATAGAGAAAAAAGATTTAGATATCCAAAATACAATTGAATATGAAAAGGGAATGATGAGAAAGACAAAAAGAAACTAAAATGAATGAAGATGCACTGATAGAAAGAAGAATGAAATGAAAGAGAAATGAAAAATCATTCAGGGATGAAAGCAAAACATGAAATACCTGGTGGTTACTGTTTGGTAAAGAATATTTGGAGGTAATGGTTATTCAGAAGTTATTATGATTTTCCAAAATAGTCTTTCTTTGACAATTTTATATACTTAGAGTTTGGTTTCTAGTATTACAAAAATTATTTTCATCTGAGATTATATTCCCAATAATTGAGTTATGAAAGTGTGATTACAACAGCCAAAAGTCTACAATAGAACTAACAGGAGAATGAATAGAGGAAATTCTAAAACCAGAAAACAAAAACGAAAGAAGAATGCATAAAGATTTGCCAGATGATGTCAATATAGGAAAGGAGAAGAAATGAACTCATCTGCAATGAAGATTGCCTTGACCATGCTATCAAGTGAACCAGAGCCATGAAAGGCTGATTACAAAAGCCAAAATTCTACAATAGAAATAACAGGAGAATAACTAAAGGACATTACAAAACAAAAAATCAAAAACAAGAAAAAGAATACATAAAGACTTACCACTCAACAGATGATATTGTAATGAACTTAAACATAGTAGCAGTAGCAGCTTTAAAATAAAATTTATCAGCAGTAGCTCTCAAATATAAAACCATGAGGACCTTAAAGTAACTCTCTCCTCTTCTGGATTTTTCCTCTTTTGAACTCATGTCATGAAGTTTTCACGCTGAAGCTAAAAGGACTGCAAATACTACACCTATACAATGTACCAACAAAGTCTCCCTCAGACATATTGATAAACATTTCCTTGTGTATACAATTTATGTCCAACAAAAGAAACTTGTTTTAAACTTTCCTTTTGTTAATTTGTCTAATGTTATATTGCATTGCAAATTAATTGGTCAGTTATTTTGTGCATGTATTCTTTTCATTACCATTATTTCATGTACTACAAAATGTTCTCATAAGAAACTTTACGCATTTAATTATTGAAGTAGCTAATCCCTAAATTGGTGACCACAGCAAAAAGTTTTTTATGCTAGAAAAAAAAAAGTGTTATTTAAAAAAAAAAAAAAATGTATTAAAGCTTCACAACTAGTAAAGATTGCACAAGTTTTAATTTAAACATTTTTTCTTTAAAATAAATAAAATTGTGTTATGTTCTGTAAGTATTATTCACATTAATTACAGATATTTTCCTTTTTGGATTTCATTTTTGAAATCTTTTTCATACAGGATTTTCTCTAAGTAATATTTGGAAAAAAACAAAAAAAAAATCTTTCATGAAACTGGATTTCGGATTAACAGTATTTTATGATAAAATATGTTATAAACTTTAACAGTGACCCATAATAAGAGTTAAAAAAATAAAAAAAATTTTCTTTCATAAAGCTTCTTAGAAAGTCATGAAATAACAAGAATAATGTTGCCACTGACCGACTAAAAGTAACCTCATTTCATTTTCGCCAAATTTTCTTTTTCTTTAATTTCCTCAGCACCCTATTGAATTGACCTAATTACTACTATTCACAGAGTGAGCCTACCAAATTATTTAATTTTTTAAGGAAGGCAGTGTTTAAGATAAATAGCAAATTATCTTGAGCTAATAAATAAATAAATAAATAAATTTATTTTTATGAAATGAGCAACGTCTCTGCCCTATTCTAAATCTCCTTATCGTGTTATAATATTGTTTTCCATTGAGGATTTTTCTCAGAATATTTTCTCGAAAATAATATTCAATCATTAAGTGGTGAATAAAAAATAATTTTATGGGCTACAACTTTTGATACTGCATGCGCATTTATTCTAACAATTGTTGTAAAATTGTTATTAAAAAAAATTACAACAAAAGTAGAGGAACCCAAATTAACCTCTGCCTTTGAAAATATGCCTTTGTTTTCTTACAATGACCGAGAACTGTTTTCCATCTGCTTGGAAGCCGTTTTTCTGATGAAAGATATTTAATCACAAAAACAAAAATATGTTTGCATAGTTTCTGCATTATCTCAAGAAAAAGCCACATGTCTACATGATTGCCTAATAAACCTACTACAAACCAGCCTGTATGACAAATTAAAAGAGGAGTTAATACTCTGAACTTCAGTATCTGAGAAGAGGAGGCTGCAACAATTATTGGAAACTGAAGCATTAGGAGAGAGAAAACAATCAACTTCTGCGTTGTTTAAAGACTCTGTCCGGAATATGTTGCAAGTATCCTTAATGACAATGGGAGATAATATATCCATGAATAAGCTGTGATATGGCTGATAAATTGATAGAAGTTATGACCCAGGACAACCTAGTGCACCAACTCCCAAATACAGGAGGAAAATAAATTATTGAAAAAGCAAATAGGTAATTTCAAAAGAATTCAATAGGTGCACCAGAATCTCATTTAATTGAGAAGCAGACAATGATACAGGAGCAAGTAAAAAGGAAGGAGCAATATTTGTTACTACCACAAGAGACGTGATGACAGGAGTACAAAACTCCTTGCAATTACAAATCTCAGGGAAACGAATAAGCCAACATTTTTGTTGGCAGGACACATTGGCATTTAAAACTCAAGTTGACTCTTTTGCCTAATTGACAGAAATTCAAAAAGAATATTCCTGATCAGTAGTCGAGCACAAATATTGCTAATCCCAGCTTCCCAGTCAGACAAATTAAAGGACCTGTGAAAACTTATATTACAAGCGGAAAATGGTTTGATTATCCACACATATGGACAAATGCATGACACTTAATTTATCACTGTGACATGATTTCCAATGGACTTTCATCATGGCCAACATTACTCCACCAATTTTGGGTTCAGACTTTTTGCATCATTATGGTCTGTTAATTGCTATTAGAAGACAACAATTGATTGATACAAACACTGATGTCAAATCTATTGGTTGCCTATATTCTGCAAAGTTGCATCAGCAGAAGAATATTCTGAATTTTCAGAAATATTGTCTAATTATAAAGACATAACTGAACCAAAATTCAAACACCCCTGTAAGAAAACATGACATCACACACAAGGTTGAAACAACTGGTCCACCTGTCTTCTCACGTCAACTTGCCCCTGATAAATTCAAGTTTGTCAAACAGGAATTCCAGCACTTAGCAAACCTCACAGTAATTTGCCCTTCAAAAAGTGAGTGGTATTCACCTCTACACTGGGTACCAAAACAGAAGTCATCCTCATGGAGACCTTGTGGTAATTACTGCAAACTGAATGTAATTACTCTTCCTGATAGGTATCCATTGCTAATATTCAAGATTTTACCAGCCAACTACATAGAACTAAAATCTTTTCAAAACTTAACCTCATCTGAGCCTACTAGTAGATACCCATAGAGGACTCTTATATAAAGAAGACAGCCATTACAATACCATTTGGGCTTTATGAATTTTTACATTAACCATTTGGACAATGGAATGTAGCCCCATCCTTCCAAAGATTTATGAACCAAGTTCTTCAAGAACTAGATTCAGTTTTCTGCTACATTGATAATGTGCTTATTGCCGGTTCTTCACCAGAAAAACATAAATAGCATTTACAATATGTTTTTTAAAGATTTTGAAAATATGGTGTTGTAGTGAATCCAATTAAGTGTAATTTTAAATTGGATGAAATTGAATTTTCAGGTCATAATTGATAAAAATGGTACCAAACCATTACCTGAAAGAACCAAAGCTATTCATTGTTTCCTGGTTTCTAAAACTTTAACAAATCTACATCAGTTCTTTGGCATGGTGAATCTTTATCATAAATTTATCCCCAATTTGATAGAAATAGTTTCCCTATTGACATATGTTCTTCAAGGACAAAAGAAAAAGAACTGTGATATAAATCTTTCTGAAGAAGAACTGTCAGCCTTTAATTTGGCAAAGGAAAAATTAGCCATTGTTAGTAACCTCATTCTTCATAATCATGAAGCTGAGTTATCCTTTGCAGTAGATATCTTGAGTTTTGCAATTGGAGCAGTCTCAAAACAATGTGAATCAAATGAATGGTTATCCATGTCTTCCTATTCAAAGAAATTATCAGAAACAGCTATTTGGTACAGCACTTTCAGATGAGAGTTAATGGCAGCATACTGTGACATCTGAAACTTCTGACATTTTTTAGAAGGTAGTTTTTACATGCTCACAGAACATAAACCTTTAATCAGAGCAATCAAATCCAAAAAGAAGAGGCCAAAAATGAGAATAATAATGCATAAAAACTTGCCACCCAAGAGATGATATCAATGTAGAAAAGGAGAAGAAAGAGATCCATTATCTTTTTTTTAAAATCATTTCACTGCAAGCAAGGCGGGAATGCCACTAGTATGCAAGGGTTTACAGAGTGTGAAGGTGAGAGAAAAAGCTGGGTAGAGAGGATACTGAAGAAGCACTGAATGGGGTTCAAGAAGATAGAAGATGGTGGTTGGCATTGCATTTAAATTTTTAAAGATTGTAGTTATCAGGGAAGCAAAGAAATGGAAGGGGAGTTTCACTGTTGGGAAGTGTGAGAAAAGAAACTGCTGGAGTAGAAGTGGTGGTTACATTTACCTAATTCAACTGTAAAATGGTGGGACCTAGATGCCAATCTAGTAGCATGCTTAAATTCAAGTAGTCCAGGCATGAAAATATTTGTAGAAAAGACAGAGGGAAGCCATGCCACATTGGTGAGAAAGTGACTGAAGTCAAGGTGCTAAGTCAGGACGAATTACATTGCAGATCCTTCTTTGGATTGTGTCAAGAACCTCAAGATTAATAGCAGGAGCACCTAACCAGATATGGCAACAATATTCAATGCACAAATGAATAGTAGATTTGTAAATGTGTAATATGGACAAGAAAAACCTTCTGGCATGACACAGTGACCCAACTTTTCTTGAAGTAGATGCAGCTATTGTTTTGATGTAGTTGTTCCACTTCAAGTCAGTTGAAAACATGAGGCCAAGAAGGTGCAGTGTATTGCTCTCCTAGTGTCTAGCATCAGCCATGCTGATGGTGAGCAGGAAAGTTTCTCTGTGGTGGTTAAATGAAAGCAGTTTTGTTTTGGAGGCATTAAAACTTATGAGCCATTTCCTGCCCCAGTTAACCACTGATTGGAGGTCGTTTTCAAGAGCAACAACCAGGTTAACTTTGTCAACTCTGACAAATTTTCTATTGAGACAAGAGTAAATGGCAGTGTTATCAGCATAAATGCAAAGGAATGATTAGATTAAATTAAACAAATGTTCAGTAATACCATAATCCTGGACCTTACATAGAAAACCAGTGTGGCAATCCTTATCAAATGCCTTTGAGATATCTAGAGACACAGCTCAAGCTTCACAGTTATTATCAAGAGCTTGATATACATATTCAATGATGGCTGTTAGCATATCAACAGTAGACCTGACAAAACAGAAGCCATATTGTTTGTCAGAGAGAGTAGGTTGTGAGAGGTAAGATGCTTAACCACTTCAGTGAAGCACTTCCAATAAGCAGAAAAGCAGGAAGCAGAGAGGCAATAGTTGTAGAGTTTGGAGCAAACTGGAGCCAGCTATGAAGCACATTACCTTACCTCCACTTGGCTAATGGAAGTCTGATTTATAAATAATGTCCGAAACCAGTGACAGGGTTATATGCATATCACTCAGTAGAGCCTCTGTTCTAGGAGGGAAATCAGGTGTGGGTACTCCAACTGAGTCGTGTGTTGAGTTGGAAGAGAATTTCTAAGCATGGCATTCAACCTTATCTGCTGTAGATGTCAGGACTGTAAATAAAGGAGGGATTGAAGATTTTCTGTTGTTCAGCACACTCTTGCAGAGCTGCCAATAATCTTTAGAAATAAACTTGTCAGATGCTATACATCATTTCATCAGCAAAAATTAACTTTGCTTCTTTGTGGACAAGCTTGCATTCATTACAAGCAGAAACACTGTTGCAATCAGATGTGTGGCTCTAGCACAGCCAAAAGAAGTAATTCCTGTGGGCTATAGCAGCCATGCAAGCAGGTGAGAACCAAGGAGATAAATGCAGTTTAACTTGGTATTTCTTTGCTGGAATGAAAGCATCAATGCTGGCTTTCACCTAGGAGGAGAACTCAGATGCGTATATATGAATAGGATGATTAAAAACTGCATTCCAAGGGACGTCACAAAGAAAGTCATAGCAATCTGCATATTGATAACAAAGATATTCTATTAGTAGGAGGTTCTTGGCTGGTAGGGGAGCAGAAAGAGATATTTAGAGACATTACCACAACAGGGCAGAGCAGAAAAGTACAACATGAGTTCAGGATAGAGTTAAAAAATGGGATCTAGAGGAAAAGTGTGTCTGTCAGGGTTACCAAGGAAATGTGTGGGGAAGTTCACCACTTGCATGAGAGATTGAGAAGTTAAAGATTTGAATTCCAGTGAGATCAGTGACAAAGTGTTTCAAAACTTTCCAATAGATCTAAAAGGAGAATGAAGAGGAAATTCCAAAACAAGAAACCAAAAATAAGAAAAATAAATGTATAATCATTTCAGTGATCTTTTTTTTAAAATTTCAGTTAAAATCTTTGTAAGCAAAAGATATACATTGATATGTCATATCATTACATCTTAAATACATTTGCATATGAAAAGGGAATGAATAGAAAGATAAAAAATGAAAGAGAAATAAAACTTAACAGTATCATGTGTCTGACTCAATATTATAAGTAAATATGAAATATCTCAAATCCAGACAAATATGAATGTAATATCAATACCATCCCAAAAATGGTGTACAGAAGAGTTGCTTAACATTTGTTGAGAGGAAAGTTAATAAATCAATCACAGTATTTATTTGGATATTTTAAAACTATTTTTATAAAGTTGGTTTAGCATGAAGAATTTTCTAAAAATAACTTAATTAGATCATGAAAATATACTGCTTTTCTCTGGAGATTGAAATAATTCTTTGGTAACAGTTTTCATACTGACCTAAAGTCAATTCAAAAGACCTTTCTCCAACTGGATTGATAACTTTTAAAGAATACTTCTGAATTTCTTTTTTCTGAATATCCAATTTCAAGATGCTGCAGTTACCAAGAAATGGAAATAATCCATCTTCTGCAGGAATGTAAGAAATTCTATCAAATGGCATTTCCTCATTCCCTTTGTACCATTTCACATCCGTAGCATCAGGATTGCAATAAAAACAGATTTTCAAATGTTTCTCAGATCCAACAATTCCAGTTTCATTTTTATTACCTTGGAAATGTGCTGCAACTTTAAAAGAGAAATATTTGTAGTTTAAAATATATTACAAAACAGAAGAATAAAAATTAGGAAATTGATTATATATTTTCAGTTTAAAAAGGATAATTTCTAAATATGTTATAAATGTATTATAAAAATTTTTGAAAATGTAAAAGAGACAACTCATCAAAAATTAAATTAAAATACTAAAAAACACACAAAAATTATTAAAGTAATTTTAAAGAAGTAAATATTGATTAAATGACAACTTTTCTATACACAGTGTCCCACAAGAAAAAATTATTATTGTCTAAAATCCTTAGATTATCTTTTGCTATTATTTTATGTACACTAGCATTTTTATTTCTAATATTTTGATAACATATTCCAACCTTTGTACAATGTGAACATTTTCAGATATTCCTAGGGACTGAACTCATAACTTTTTTCTAATTTCAACTTTTTTTTTTTTATCTATGTATCATTCAGTTTTTATTAAATAAAGTTCACTCACTATAAGATTTGAGAGCCACTCAAGGTAAAGGATTGCAGAATGAGGTGTATGACATAAATATAAGATAAATTAGAAGGGAATGAAGATTATAGGGATAAAGAGATCGATAACAAATGACCCTTAATTTAAAGTGGTTACAGTTGAAGTTTTCAGGGAAGCATCCACACGGGATTCTGTTCCACTAGGTAGTAGTTCTTGGGAAAAAGCTGTCTAAGTGAAACTTTTTCTTTACAATTGAAATAATAAAGAATGAGTGATTTGATCCCATGGAATAATATTAGCTACAAAAGCTTGAATGGAAGAGCTCAGTAGAAGATTTCTCATGAAAATAGTGATTACTCAATCAAAGCTGGAAAGTGAAGATTGAGAGCAGCTCTCATGAAGATATTGCATCATCTTTGATTTGTAATATACAACTGTCACAAGCAGTAAAGTGCACAGGTTGAAAAATTATTAAATCAATAAAGGTGAGAAATAGTCAAATAATTGATGAAGTAAATTTGATATAATTTTCACATATTTTTAAACTCATGGAAAAACTTTATAAAAAATGATATTTTTGCTATTAAAAATTACAGAATAAAAACTATAAATGGTTGTGTGTATTGGTAAAGCAAAACTATTTTTACTCTATTTGCATCAATTATCTGATTAATTTATTATTATACTGTTTGATTGTAATAAACATGAAGTTACCTATCAATCACTTATCATAATTCAACTGATAAAAAGAAATGGACTTGTATATTAATTATTATTCTCTTTGTGTGAAATTTATGTGTTACACAAATTAGTGACAAAGGAAACTCATCTAAAAAAAGAAGAAAATTGATGCCAACTGATATTTACAAATTCTTTCAAAAGCTGCAAATTAAATCTTCATGTAAGTCTATATTAAGATTATTTCATCTTTTTTAATTTTATTAAAAATGAACTTTTGCTTTCAGTTTATTTGATACATAATTTCTGGACAGAGTAATTATCCAAATTCAAACCAGGAATATTTTATAAAGAAAAAAATTCCAGTAAATATAAAAGTGGTATGTGTCATAATTGTTAATTATTTTTTTTATTTTCTAGTACATTGAGTTATAAAATTTTGAATGTAATGTTTATATATTTTAATGAGATCTTTGAAAAAAGTAGGTTTAGAACAGAAATATACACACAATTGTAAAATATAAATATATACAAAAATTAACAGATCTGATATTTAACTGTTTACATCTCCTAATTTCTGCTAATAAATTAAAGATGTCAATATCATAAAATTGTTGAATTTAATATAAATTTCCTATTATCAAAAACAAAGTAAAATATTGAATTTTATGTATACAAATTTCCTATATCAGAAATAACAAAAGAAATAAACCATTGAATTTAATATATACAAATTCCCTATGTCACAATTACCAAAAAAATTAAAGCCTGGAATTTAATGTAAACAAATTACATATATTACTATTAACAAAAAAAGTAAACCATCGAATTTAATGTATAGAAATTTCCTCTGTCATCAATACTCTTTTTAGGGTATTGATGACAAAGGAAATTTACTTTTTAGTAAACCACTGAATTTAATGTATACAAATTTCCTATGTCATTATTTTAAAAATGAGTAAACCATTTAATTTAATGTATACAAATTTCCTGTGTGAAAATTACCAAAAAAAGTAGACCATTGTGCATACGAACATCTACGAATATTCACTCCTTCAACCACAAGGACAGAAACACTTAACATAACAGCATGTTTGATTAAATAAATTACAATACAAGGAAGGTTATTCGAGAGTATGAACAAATTTTGTTAAAAATAAGCAGGCCTGTAATTTATTTTTATATATATATATATATATATATATATATATATATATATATATATATATATTATAAATTGATTTATTTAAAATGTTTTTTTGGCTACACAGTTCTAACTATGTTTCAAAAATGGAATATCTTACTGTTTTTTCTTTTTTTATATATATATATATATATTTTTATATATATATAGAATATTATTTGGATAGATAGATACTCAACCATTGCTTGTTGAATTTAAACAGATGTATGTGTTTAATATCCTTGGTTGGAAAGAGAACATCATTTGAATAAAAAGTATGAAAAATATCCATTTTATTAAATGATTATAAGAAAAATTAAAATAATCACATTTTTATGCAAACACACACATTAAAAATACAGGAATACATTTTTTGATTGAGTTTTGTAACTTTTTGTATCATAGGGGTATTGAATATTATTTGGTCTGCTTGTGTCTTGCAATAATTAGTCTTGTTCAAATTTAAACTTGTTACCTTATGATGAATTTTAGATCACCCAAACCTATTCTGGTGGATTTGGAAGGGAAGAAAAGAATCCTTTATTTCTGATCTGCATGTTTTGAATTTGGTCTCCAATTCCTCAATCTAAAGGTTTAAGTAACTGTGAAAAGCAGTTAAACTTAAATTATGTTTTCAAAATTTGTTGAATAAAATAAAAATGAATTTATCACAAGTTAATAAAATGAAAATAAGTTTGTTCATCATTCTTTTAAATCAATTTTTCTTTATCCTTTTACAAAATTTTATAAAATTATCAATCATCTCAATCATTTAAAAGAGAACTCTTATTAAAAGAGAACTAATATATAAAAAAACAAAAAATAGTTAATTTATGAGAAATATACTTACATATGACAAAAATGAAAATGTTTTTAGAACTTTTCAAAATGCCATTTTTGGAGCTGTTAGCTGTTGCAATGCATTGAACTTTACTTACATTAAAACGAGTAAAAGAAACTTGCAACAACTTAGACTTGTAAATCTGGTTTCTAATTTTCCATGTTATTGTTGGTTTGGGATTTCCTTCTGCCAGACAACTAAATTCCTTTGTTTTATTTTCAATCACTGTCATATTATCAATTGTATTTATGATGGGATAATCTGAAAATATAAATAAAGGATAAAGATCATCTTGAGATTTATGAATGAAATGGATAAGTTCAGAAGGTTTTTGAAAACTGAATTTCTATGTTAACATTCTCTAAGGATTAATATAAAAAGTAAGTGTATTCAGATTTGTTATAAATTGAGATAATGGATCTGATATCTAGTTGTTGCAGGGAGCACAGGTTGGGGTGGGGGATCATTTCTAATACAAACTGAAACTCATGATCATTGATTACAGAAGTCAAAACTAGTAGAATGAGAAAATTTAACCTTGGTTGAAGTAGAAATGTTTATTCTAATTAATGTCTTAATAAATACTTTAATGAAAAGAAAGCTTGTAATTTGGGATGGGATTTGACTTTTCAGTTTGAGATCAAACAAGTGAAAGGCATTTAATAAAATCTTTGGTATATTCAATGATAATGGTGTTTTCTTTCTAAATATAACAAAAAGTACAAAAGAACTAATTTCCTATGTATATGTCGGCGTTAACACCTCCTTTAGTTCGTTAACCCTTTCACCAGGGGTCTCTCTTCCCTAGCTATAAATAGTCTCTGACCCTTCGCCTCTTCCTCTTTTTTCCTCAGGCTTTTGGGCCGCCACCTGGAGGTAAATCTCTCTTTTTCCTCAGGCTTTCAGCCTTATCACCTCGCAGATGTGAACACTCACAGAGATACTACTACTCAACAACATCACAGCCACGGTCCACTACATAAAGGTGACTTCCCGACGTGATATGTCTTCCAACTCCTGCTAACAACACTCAGGATGATATATATGTACAAACTCACATTTACACACACCTTCCCAAAAGAGAGCCAGATAGGAAAAACATTTAAAAAACAAAAAAACTTCTTTTTGTATCCTACGCACGCCGTACACTATTAACGAAAGAACCACAATTACTACTATTGAGACGAACCTTAGAACTCTTTCCCCACTGGTCTATATTTGCTTGACACTTTCTTTCTCTCGGTGACGTTTGACCTAATTTCACCCGGCAGACATGCTTAAGGCTGTACCAAACAGAAAACGCAACGCCATTTTCTACTAACACTGTTTTCTTTTGGACTGAAATAGAAAAAGTGTGAACCAAACCACTAAAGACGACTCACTGTCTTATTTTCAAACAACATTGGTGATTCCGACATGGAAGCAACACCCAAGTTTCACTGGAATGAATGTACAATTTACTTTCGGACGACTCACTGTTTTGAAAAAACATTTTCAACGTATCTTTCACATAAAATTTGCTGTAAAGATTTACTACATAATCACTAATAAGCAAATTTTATTTTTCAACATCGCCTATACTAATTCAACTCAGAGAATTACGCACATTTTGGGAATTAATCTAGCCTCTCAATCTTTTCAATCTCTTCAACAAATTTCGGTGATTCTTCTCAAACACACATTTGGTGATCTAATTCAACACAACGTCAGTTGATAACAAATCCACGCCTTCATTATGGTGACAACATATCTACTCACATTGTGCTAAACACTGCACATTATTTCAGATGCCCAATGCAGTCTTAAAAGGCAACTCACTGTCCTTTATTTTCATCCTGCAATGATGCGACTCGAATGAACGAAGAATTTGCCAGAACGATATTCTATCGTCAATAACACCAAATTCTCTCAAACATACATTCGACACTCAGTAGAAATTCAGCTCAACTTCATGACTACGCTGCTTCTATTAACTTTTGTGCGCCAATTATATCCACGCATACCACACGAACCACATCGTTTTTCAAACAAAACTACAACCAGGCCAGCAAACAGGTGGACGGATCGACACAGCCAATTCAACGTGGAGCATTGGAAAAAAGACAAATTTTGATAGCAACGCAGACCACTACCGACGTTTTTACAGGACATGCCCCAACTCTGACTCACTAGAGAAATACACAGCACCCTGACGACAACACAAGCACATTTTGTCGATTCACGCATCTCAACCACACTTCTGACACATTTTCTTTTCAGCTCACAAGGACAATATTCAAAACTTTCATGAACCTTTTTCTAACATATTAAATGTTTCCATTTCCTTACAACTTTTAATCTGGTGAAAGGTATTGTCGGAATTAACTCCTCCTTTAGTTCATTAACCCTTTCACCAGGGGTCTCTCTTCCCTAGCTATAAATAGTCGCTGACCCTTCGCCTCTTCCTCTTTTTTCCTCGGGCTTTTGGGCCGCCACCTGGAGGTAAACCTCTCTTTTTCCTCAGGCTTTCAGCCTTATCACCTCGCAGATGTGAACGTTCACAGAGATAGCGTTTTCCAAATGCTGGGAACACGCTAAGCACAATACACACACATATAACATATATAATATTCACACACACACTTTGTCCTTTGTAACTGTTTCCATGTAACTTGTTATTAATATATATATTTGTATACATATATTATTGGTCTTGTGTTTGTTTTTCTTTGCCTTCTTCTTTGGACTTAATTAAAGTCCAACTTTGTCGTGTAGTTGGACCAGCTAGCAGGAAAATTTTAACCCACATGTTTCTTCCACTTCTACTCAACAACATCACAGCCACTTCCCACAACATATATATATATATATAGTCTATACTTATACTGTAGAAATAAACAATGCTGACCTTTTAGCAGTGGAAACATGAATAATATTTATGAGCTTGTAAGATAAATTTTGGATCATCAATAAAAAGCTAGATATTAGGTTGTACATTGTCTTTTTTAAATAGAGAATTTTAATTCTGTGTTCAAGTTTTTTTTAATAATACAAAGATTTCTCAAAGAGTAAACAAAAAATTAAGTAAACCAATGTTGTTGATCTCATAAATGAACAAACAGGCTTTCTGACAAAAGGTTTAATAAGCTTGATTTGAATTACTTTGAAACTTTCAGTACAACAAGGATAATGATTATAAAACTATTAAAAATAATACAAATTTGTTTTAAGTTTATCTAATCCTGATGCGTGATCCTATAACCAAAATATTTTCTGAAATGAAAAGTATTAAAAATTTATATTTATAAATTCAAAAATTTTGTTTCATGGAAAATATCAGTGTAAAACAAATGAATTGTATTTGCCAAAGTAAAACTTACATTCTACATTGAGTTTTATGGTTGAAGATACAGGATTATCTCCCTTACATTTATGATGCCCATTACAAGTCAGTGTTTTTTTGTTCAAGGCTCGAGTTAAGTTTATTTTAATTACATTTGCAGGAGGATAATTGTCAGGTGACCATGTGTAATTGTCAACTTTAGGATTACCACCTGATGCCACACAAATTAAAGATGCAGTTTGCCCTTCAAGATATGATGTCTGACTGATTGTTACGTTACTGGGAGGATCTGTAAAGAAAAAAAAAAATATTTGAATGAATCACAGAATGCAGTCAGTAAAGAAAAATAAAGAAGCTGTTCATATTAAAAATAGAGGATTGTAAAGTATCATAAAATACTGAAAGCTCATGTACATTAAATCAAAAAGGAATCATAGAAAGGCACAAACACTAGAGAAAGTTTTAGATTGGGAATAGAAATCTTTTTCTAACATAATGAAGCTAAGATAAAGTCTAAAGATAAAAGAAAAGCTATTGTCAATGTGATGCAAAAATATTCCTGATTTAACAGATATCATTCAATCATGAATTATCAGATATCAAGAACGAGAAATACAAGAAAAGGAAATGTCATTCATTCATTAATTATATTTATTGGAGATAAATATGAAAAAAAAATACAACAGAAATAATGAAATACTCTTAACTTGTCAAATACCATAGTGATTGAGAATGTGAAATAAAAGAGAAAAAATATCATTCATCTATTATTTATAATCATTTGGCATCGAAATGACAAATACAGTTGAAAGAAAGAAATATTTCTGTCTTACCAAATATCACAGACATGTTTATTACATGTACTGGAGAAGAAACCTAATTGAAAGAAATATTCTTGGCTTACCAAATATCATTGATTTCTATATAACATATAATTGAGAAGAAATGCAAAAAAAAAACCCAAAAAACAAACAGTCTAGGTTTAGCAAATACCATTGACTTGTCTATTACTTGCATTAGAGAATAAATACAATTGAAAGAATGATGAATTCAATTAAAAGAAATATTCCTAATTTAGAAAATATCATTCACTTGTTTATTACATGTGTTGGAAAACAAGTACAGTTGAAAGGAAGATATATTCTTGGTTTGGCAAATATTATTGACTTGTCTATTACATGTGTTGGAAAACAAGAATGCAGAAATATAATTCAAAGAAATAATTATGCCAGCTTTTATTTTTTAAATTTTTTTTGTATATTTGATTTTACCCCATGTAAGGCAGCAAAGACACAAAGGGGTTACTGGGTGTAAAAAAATTAGAAAACAGAAAGATTATTAAGGAGTGACAACAATAGAAGAGTAATCAGTAGATAATGATTAACATTGCATTTAAATTTTTGAAGATCAAAGTTAACCCCAGAGCTTCATCCTTGGTTCTATGCTGTTTTTAATCTTCATTAACAACCTTCCTGATGACTTTCAACTTGGCATCTACAATGACGACACTACCATTTATTCCTGTCTTGATAGTAAGGCTAATCAGTTAGATATGGTCATAATGGCAGCTGGTGTCTAAAATGACCTCAAAACTGTTGTTAACTGGGGCAGAACATGGCTTGTCAATTTTAACATTTTTAAAAGTCAAATTCTCTCGATTAATCATCTGAGAGACCCCACTCTGCCTTCCATCAGCATGGCTAATGCTAGCCTCCAGGAAAGTGACTCTTTGTGTCTTCTCAGGCTAACTTTTTTTAGCTGACATGAAGTGGAAAGACTATATTGAATCCGTTGCTAGGTCAGCTGCTGAGAAAGTTGGTTCACTGTGCTGAGTGAGACAATTTTTCTCTCCAGACTCTATCTTGCATACCTGTGTCTATCATTCACCCATGCTTAGAATATTGCCGCCACATAGTGTCTGGGGCCCCTGCTATTTTTCTAGAGCTCCTTGATAAGATCCAAAGAAGAATCTGCAATGTTATTGGTCCTGATTTGGTGGCTCAGCTCCAGTCACTTTCCCCACTTCTGTAAGGTTGCCTCTCTGTGCCATTTTTATAAATACTTTCATGGTAATTGTTCAGATGGGTTCTTCAATATGATACCTAGTCTGTATGAATTTAAGCACAATACTAGATTGGTGGTGAGATTCTGGTGAACAGTTATGTAGCAATGAGTGAGTCAGATTGGCTTGCATCTGGTGCAAAGAAAAATAAATTCCTTACCTCAATACATGACATATAGCAGTGGCATTTTGTTCCTTGAAAATGGCATGAATCTCCTGCCCCACACACACACACACTTAGGTTATTTTGGAAGTGTATATTCTGTAATGTTGGCTTTTATACAGCTTAGCCTGGTTCAAGCAATAGCAATTTTTGTGCTAATTGGTTGGATTGGAGGATGCAATTTGACTGTGTGACTAAAGACAAAATGAAGAACACTGATTGGTCAGTCGGTGATGATGTTGGTGTGATAAAAGAGGGCTGAAGCAGTGAGAAGCAGAGTGATTGTTACATTAGTGGTGTGTGCGGGAACTCATGAATGGCGTATTGAGAAGAAGCCTTCTGTGTTGTACGAGCAACGTTAGAGGAATATAACTTCATTTAACTACAGAGATCTCATCAATTTACAGTTGAGCTAGCTAGATGTAGCCATAACTTCTATGCTGACAATTTGTTTTCTCGCAGCTCTTGTCTCTGGAACCCTTCCAACCCATGCTCTCCAGCCAATTTTAATTTGCAAGAGTTTAAATGCAATCTATCTACTGTCCTCCTAATTGCTCTTTTCTATTTCTACTCATTACTAATGTTTCTGTTCCTAATTCCTTCACACCCTGTAACCCCTTGCATACTAGTGGCTGATTAAAAAAAAGACAAAAACAACTAGAAAACATGGAGTCCAAAGAGAGTTCCACAAGTGAGAAGTGTGAGAAAAGAAGCTGTTAGCATAGAACATACAGTTATATGTAACCAATTCAACTGTAAATTGATGAGGCCTTGGTGCCAATCTAGTACTGCACATAAATTCATAAAATTCAAACAATTACATAGAAAGTATTTAAAGAAAAGACACAAGGAAGCAACTTTACAGTGATAGTGGTGAAAGTGACTAAAGCTTAGACACCAGGTCAGAAACAATAATATTGCTGATACATCTTCAGATTTTATTAAGAATATTAAAATATATAGCAGGAGCACTGGATCACATAAGACAGCAATATTCTAAGCATGGCTGAATGGTAGACATAGAGATTGATTCTGGAGGCAAAATTGTCTAGTACAACACAGTGAACCAACTTTCTTAGCAGTTGACCTAGCAATGGATTCAGTATAGTCTTTTCACTTCATGTTACACTAATAAGGTGCAAAAAATCACTCTCCTGTTTCAACTATTTCAATTTGTGAAGAAGACCAGAATACCAAACCCCATTGAATGCTTTTGAGATGCCCAAACCGACAGCAATTCTTATCTAGGATTTGACAGACTATTTCTGAAATAATTGTTAATACATCATCAGTTGATCTAGAGAAACAAAAGCTTGTCTGAAAGAAGACTCTGTGATGTGAGATGCTTAACTAATTCAGCATTGATTAGGACCTTTAGTAGTTCACCAAAAAAGAAGACTAGCAAGCTGATAGATGGAAGGTTCACCTGAGTTCTTAAAGACTGGGACAACAAAGGAGGATTTCTAAGAAGCAGGAAAGCAAGAGGCAGCAAGGTATTTATTGTACAGTTTAAAGAGAACAGGAGCCAATTTGGGAGCACATTTTTTTTTTTTTTTGCAGTGATAACATCAAGTCTGAATATTATGTGGGGATCAAGATTAGAGATGATAGAAACCATGAAAGGGGTTATATGCATATCCCTCAACAGAGACTCAGGTCTAAGTGGAAAGTTAAGCGTGGATTCTATAGATGAATCATGAGTAGCATTTAAAGAGAATTTATGCACAAAAAATTCTGCTTTATCTGCACAAGCTGTTAACATCTCAAATTGATTTAAGAGAAGAGAAAATAAAAGCTTTTATTTAATACATTATCACAGAGCCACCAGTAATCACGAGAGGCAAAGTTGTCAGACGCAATATGGTGTCTCATTCCAGCAGCAAAGACTTAGCTCCTTCTAAGACAAATTTACATTTATTAAGTGCAGAAAGAAATAGGAATCTATTGTGATCAGAAATGTAATGGTGGTATAGCCAGAAATAATGATTCCTATGGGCTATAGTGGCAGAACATACTATTATGAACCATAGAGAAGATTGATGTTTTACCTGGTATTTCTAAGAAGAAATAAAAACACCTACCCTGGCTTTGAAGCAAGGAAGGTTAAAAATATCAATCCAAGGGGTCTTTTGAAGAAAGTCAAGAAGTGAATCCCACTGAGCTTGCTGGTAATGGAAAGAGGTCTTATATTTCAAAGGTTCCAGTCTAATAGATGATTGGAATCAAGTATCAACAGATATTACAGAGGGATCCGAGTTGTCAAGGGAACAGTTTGTGAAGCTCCACAAGAGCTAAAAGAGGAGATAAAGAACAAGTAAACAAATCTGTTGCTCAGATTTATTAGGGAAACAAGTAGAGAAATCCACAATTTCAGTAATAGATCAAGCAATGGAAAAATTGAAAGTCTGAATACCAGCAACATCAGTAACATTAGAGAGTTTAAGCCACTTGACATGATGTGCATTAAAATCACCAAACACAAAGATGTTTGCAGATGGATGAAAAGAGAGAGCCATTTCCATACCATCAGAAATTTTGTCTCTAATATATTGCAGTCCTGAGAAGAGGAGGTATGATAAAGGAAAAAAAAAGATAGCTAACAGCATGCAATAACAAGAATTGAAAACACAAAAAATAGTTATTGGGGGACTTGAGTAAAAATTCCCTTGCCATTTTACTAAAAGTTACTGAATTGTCAATTATATATATATTGGAGAAAAAGAATGTAGACATACAACTGAAAAAAAGAAATATTCTTGTTTGCAAAATATCATTGATTTGTCAATTAAATATATTGGAGAAAAAGAATATAGACATACAACTGAAAAAAAGAAATATTCTTGTTTGCAAAATATCATTGATTTGTCAATTAAATATATTGGAGAAAAAGAATATAGACATACAACTGAAAAAAAGAAATATTCTTGTTTGCAAAATATCATTGACTTGTCAATTAAATATATTGGAGAAAAAGAATGTAGACATACAACTGAAAAAAAGAAATATTCTTGTTTGCAAAATATCATTGACTTGTCAATTAAATATATTGGAGAAAAAGAATGTA